GACCTCTTTGGGCCTAAAAAGTATTGTGTGGGTTTTATGAGATCCCTGAAGGGATCCTAGTCCACAAGAATGTAAATAATCACTAAAGCTGTGTTTTTCTACTTCTCCATATGGTACGTAGCTCAAAGGGAAATGCTGTAAAGGAAAAGAAAGTTTCAGATCAAGGCTAGGATACGTTTTATGACAGCATTATGCCAAATAAACAAACAAATTTAAAAGACATCCAGTTTAACAAAATAAAATTCTAATTTACCTGTGAAGTGGAAACACAAAGATTTACTGGTCTTCCAACTTTGATGCCTAGTTAAATATGTGTATGTGCATGTCTTTTTTTGTTTGTTAGAATGCTGGTGTATGCAACTTATCTCTCTGAGGAATTTTTAAAGGAATCCTTACAAAACTGTCTGAAGTATTATGCCTACATCCACTTCATTATATGTAAACCATAACCTCAAAGGATAATTTTGGGAAAAATAAATTGAAATTTAAAAAAAAAGATGCAAAGTTTAAATTCTTTAGCCACAACAGCAAAGCAAATAATTGAAAATTGAAAAGTCATGCTGATCAGCAAGTTATTTGTTGTCATAGTGCCAAAAGGCCACAGTGCTTATTCTAGAAAGTTAATGCGTTGTAGTGGTACATCTTTAATTTTTTTCTTTCCATCTCTCAAAAGTGTTGGAAACCATAATGTCAACAGGGAAAACTGTTGCCTGATTATTTACACAGACTCTATGAAGCTGGCATTTTGTGAATTTCCTTCCCTAAAGTTGGTTCTCTGTGGCCCAATCTGAAGAGCAATAAAAAGGTCTTCCCGCATCTCTGTTTGCCCATGAGGGCTGCACTTCTACATGCAGAAAATGGTATCTTGTCACATGCTGCCACCCCCACTGCCTCATAAAATGTCAGAGCAAGGAGCCGCCACTGTACCTGTGTGCAACTTTCTCTGCTATGGAATTTCCTGGACACGGGTGCTGGGCACATACAATTGGATTAGCAATGCCAGCTTATTTTCCAAAGTGGCTTTGCCAATTTCCTCTCCCTCCATTGATGTCTGAGAGTCCCTTTGTTCCACGAAGTGTAAACAAGGGCAACTCACCTAGCTGGGCAGAAGTCACACCTGGTGAAGGAGTTTACATTAGGGGAACCTTACAGAAGTGGGATCAGTCTAGGTGGGTGAGTCTCCCCGTGTTCCCATTGCTTTCTGAGGTCGCACTTAGCAAACTGACATGACCAGAAGTCCATTCTGGGAGAGAAACTCCCACATCTTGGTTTGAGGAATTTGGGGAATTACCACTGAGGAAGCACCAGTCTTTCTCCTCATATGTTCAGATTCCAACACAACAAAAATAAGATGTGGAAGAGTCTTTGCCCCGCCCTTTCCTGTCAGCTCAGAGTCAACAGCTGCCCTTCTCCTAGCATGGTCCGAAGTCTGCAGTCCAGGCCTTCGGTGGACCCCTTAAATGCCCAACCATAGCCAGATTCCGTGAAGTTTGAAAGAGGCCAGTTCCTTCTCTGCTACACCAGTCTGAGAAATTAACCTGTACCTTTCACTCCACATTCCTTTCTTTTTCTTGTCACTTTGTTATTAATTTCTAACTTAATTATGTCGAAGTTAAGAGTATGTGGTACATGTGATTATAAATCTTTAAAAGTTAAGACTTTCCTTCTAGCCTAATGTAGCGTTTATTTTTATAAATTTTCTATGTGTTGCCAGGAACAATATTTTAAACACATCTGTTACAACAAACTTAATTATGTTGTTCAAAACTTCCATAGCCTTATTTTTGCTTGACTAATCTATTAATCACTTAGGCATGTGGAAATCTCTCAATATGCTGATGGATTTTTTAGCTTCTTCCAATGTAGCTTTATAAATTTGTAGTTATTTATTTGAGGTCTATTTTGCAAGACCCATTAAGGTTTTACTTTCTGGTAAATTTATTCCGGTAAATAAAAACTTTTGTCCATATGTAAATGATCCTCTTCCTCTTCTTGTAATGCCTTTTATTTAACTCAAATTTGCTTATATTATATCCCTACCAACTTTCTTTTAATTAGTATTTCACATGTATTTATTCTACACTTCTACTTTTCAAATTTTTGTGACCTCTTTCAAAAGACATTCACCTTTTTTTATTGAGAAGGAAAAATAGCTTTGAATTTTAGGGGGGATTTAGTTCTTTACCGTATTGATTGTGAGTGCTGATAGATTGGTTTTTACTTTCCGCAGGTTATTTTCTACCCACTCATTCTACTTTTTGTTGATGTGTTTGTTTACCCTTTCTGCACATCACTTGATCTGAGGTTTATTTTCCCTATTCCAATTTTCTAAACATCTACTAATTTAGAAGTTCTACATTCAATTTCTATATTTTTAGGGATTCACTGGAAATTTTAACATGAATTTTTCCCTTAAGATGTTTAAAATTAATAAATAGCTTAACTCTTTTCCCAAATAAGAGACGCATTTTAAAATACTTAGCTCCTTTGGGGCACCTGGGTGACTCAGTTGGTTAAGCATCCAACTTCAGCTCAGGTCACGATCTCACAGTTCATTGCTTCAAGCACTGCATCAGGCTCTGTGCTGACAGCTCAGAGCCTGGAGCCTGCTTCAGATTCTGTGTCTTCCTCTTTCTCTGCCCCTTTCCCCGTTCACACACTGTATCTCTCTCTCTTTCTCTCACAAAAATAAATAATAAAAACATTTAAAAAAATTAAAACACTTAGCTCCAAGCACTTGTCCTTTCAAATTAGTTTTGGTTATCCAGAATTTAGGTCTATCTTGACGTTTTTAACCTCAACCTTTAACCTTTTCAACTTAAATTAGATATTATTATCTTTACATGTAATCAATGTTTTATTTCAGAGATACCTTATGGGATCATTTTCTTTCTACCTGAATAAATTCCTGATGTGCTCTCTTTGTGCTTACAGACTCTGTTTTTATCTAAAAATGCCTTGGTTTCACACTTGCTCTTTCTCAAGTTATACATTTATAGATTGACAGGTATTTTCTCTCAGCGTTTTATAGATCTTATTCCCTGACTCCTGCCTTCCATTGTTGATGTGAGAAGCCAGCTGTCGGTCTAATCGTTATTCTTTTGTAAATTAATTTTGTCTTTTTTTAAATAACTGATTTGTAAGACCATCTATCTTCAGTTTACTACAAGTACTACAAGTTCACATGTGTCTAGATGAGTTTCTTTTTGTTCATTTTTCTTGGGATTCATTGGAAATCTTCAATCTGGGGACTGATGTCTGATCAATTCTAGAGACAACTTAAGCATTATCTTTTAAGAACACTCCTACTTCCCTTATTTCTTTTCCCCAGGTTAGACATATTAACTACAGCCTTCACGTTCTTAAACGCTTTCTTCGTATTTTCCATTCCCTTGTCTGTCTGTATTGCTTTCTGGGTAATTTCTTCAGCTCCCATTTCCAGTTCACTAAGTAGCTCTTCAGTTGTATCTAATCTGCTGTTAAAACCATCCATTGGACAGAAAATCCATATCTGAAGCTTTATGCCTTGAAAATACACAAGTCCACATAGATTTTATAAAGGAGATTCCTTGTAGCCTTTTTGATATGAGAAAAAGCAAGAGAGAAAACTAAGTATCTCTCAGGAGAGAAATAGTTCAGTAAATCACACACATCTGTTCAATTAAATTAACACTACAGGACTACCTAAAGCAAGGGTTTTTCTTCTTATATTCCAACTTGGATCAATGCCCATCTACATATAGTAGAAAAATATAAATTCCAATGTGTGTTTATGTGTGTATGTGTGTAGATAGAAGTGTCTAAAAGTAGGTACTTCAAATTGATATGTGCTTTTAGCATAAAATGCACTCTGGATTTCAAAGACCTGTATACAAAAGATGAAAATTATCTCATTAATAATCGTATTGATTGCATGTTGAAATAGTACTACACTTTTACGGAGTTATATAAAATATGTTGTTTAAATTAATTTCACTTGTTTCCACTGTTTTTGTTTCTAGTAGATATTTTTAAATTATATATTATTTAAAAAGCTGTTGATTTTCTAATTGAAAATTTATTTTACTTCTCTAGAATTGCCCTCCAATCTTTTTACTGGTAAAGGCAATACTGATGTTCTCTATTTCTTTTCTTTTTTAATTTTTTTATGTTTATATTTGAGAGAGAGAGCACAGGTGGGGGGCAGGGTTGGCAGAGAGAATGGAACAGAATATGAAGCAGGCTCTAGGCTCTGAGCTGTGAGCACAGAGTCAACGCAGGTCTCGAACTCACAAGCCATGAGATCACGACCTGAGTCAAAGTCAGACACTTAACTGACTGAGCCACCCAGGCACCTCGATGTCCTATTTCTTAGTCACACTTTCAACATATCTTTATTGCTTTGAATATATCCATCACACATTATAGGCATGATTCTCAAGTGTGTTGTTTCTGCTGCCTATCTCCTATGGTGGCTCATTCCCTCTTGCATTTATTAACATTTGGAACTTTGTGACAACTCTGGATATGAGTTACATTTCCCCAAAGCAAATATGCTTTTCTTCTGCCAGGGATGTGGAGCTCTACCACTCTGGCACAAATTAGAACAAATGTTCACCTAATGAGTTTGGGGGGAAGTCACACAGCTAATGTGACTTTTTTCCCTCACTTTTTAATGTAGTATAATATATATGCACGCAAATGTGTTTGTATCATAAGTAGAGGGCTCAGTATATTTTTGCAAACTAAGCATATCTATGAAGTCAGCATCCAAATAAAGAAACAGAGTATTACAGGTACAGGTACAGGTACGTCAAAGTAGAAGATCCCCACAGGCTCTGCACTTGAAGGTGGCAGATATAGATATAGATATAGATATAGATATAGATATAGATATATAGATACATAGATATATAGATATATATAGATCTATAGATATAGGTGTATCTATAGATCTATATATATACTTGTTTTTCTTTCACTCCTTGGTAGTCACAGCAAAGGCCGGGTTCAGCAAATACCTGCAGGGTTTCCTCTATGGGTCCAGTCTGTTTCCTGGGGCTTGGCTCTGCTCTCTCACTTGGTAGGGTTGTCCTCCGAGTATCTTCTAAGTGGCTTTGTCCTCCATCTGTCTTGTAAGTGGCTCTAGGCAAGGAGGGAAGTGAAAATATCCGCATGGAAACTTTGTTTCTAGCACTTCCATATTCTTCAGATTTGAGTTTTTCTTTGGCTTCTGACCTTAGAAAAAGTTCTTATTTTCCCACAAGCTCAGAAATGTATGATGAATACATATGTGTGTGTGTGTGTGTAATACATAGATACACACACATACACAGACGTATATATAAAGAAAAATGTTGCTTTTAATATTTAAACCAGCAATAGGAAATTAGTTCAGTAAAATATCATGAATGATAAAGATGAAAAATTCTCAGCATCAAAAATCTTACTTTTTTGGAGAGTATTTTAATAATATGTGAAAATGCCCAGGATATTATTAAAAAGAAGACAATGACTGAAACTGTAAAATGTGGTCTCAAATTTGCATATTTATATATACAGACCTAAGATAGAAGAAATAAATGAATTTAAGTATTAACTGTGTTTTTTTTCTTGGGAAAGGATCCAAACATTCTTTTCTTATACTTTTCTGTATTTTATGTGAGATACATATCCTCATTTTATACTATGAAGAAAATTAGGAAGAATTAAGAAAAAAGAGCAGGAACCAGAAACCACCTTTCCCATCCACTTGCACTCCTTGTCACACATTCAGACTATGTCAGTGACATGTGAGAAACTGGAAAAAACTGAACAGTCCCAATAATGCTCAACAAGCCAACGCTGCAGCGAGGCGGGCAGCAAAAGACTCTGCCTTCTTCACATTCTGATCGCCAACAAATGGAAAAGGTGACTTCATTGTGGAGGAGGCTTTGACTCTTTCCACCTGTGGCTTTTCTTTTTATGTCGTAGCATTAAGCTGCCTCCTCCAAACAACACTCGGCAGGTATAAACAGGATATAACAAAACTCCTCATATCCTTTCATTTAAAACTCGGATTTTTTTTTTTATTTCTCAGCTTGATTGACTTTGTGGAATCCTGGAAGGCATAGGATTCAGGGAAGGAGGAAAAAGCAATAGCAGCTTATTACCAATTTGTGTTATTTGCAAATAAATTATTAGGAAGAACTGTGCCTTTTTCCCAATCTTTTTCCATTGTTGACCTGCCCTCATGCTTTTTTGGGCACTCATTAGAAAGTAGGACCAGTTATTTAAGACCACTTTAAGACATGACAAAAAATAATAGAAGATGAAAATAATTTGCCTACAAGTATACTTTTATGATTCTGTCTTTGGAACTGTGAATACAGGTACTCCAGTCTCTAAGGTCTTGCCACTCAAATGTGGTACACAGACCAGTAGCATCGGCATCACTTGAATGCCTGCTGGTAATGCAGGTTCTTAGGCCCAAGCCCAGACCTGCTGAATCAGAATCTCCAGGGATCTATGGTTCTACAACTTACCTAATGATTCTTATACACACTAGCACTTCAAAACCACTTGTGAGCATCCAAAAATAATACCAAGCAATCACAATTCAAATAGATAAGAAAAGGAGACAATTTTATTCCTCCAAATATCTGAATTTCCTCTCTCATATGAAAGGAAAGCTTACTGTAAGTTCTCACCTTAGTAGCCACAATTAAGTGTGGGAATTCTATGTCTGTCAATAAACAGAGGTCGGGGCTACATTTAAGCAGCCTGGTCCATAACTGCTTCCCTTCCACAGTCAAACCCCAGGAATGGACTTTTTGTTCAATTTCTTCTTTCATCCTCTTTGAAGAGATGCAACTTTGAACTAACAGTGTGGCTGCTGGGAACTTCTTTGTGCCTGCCATAAATTGTGTCTTTCTCTCCATGACCCTCTGGTGAGCCAGTGCAAAAATAGGGTCGAAACCAACAAAAAAAATGCAAGGAAACAGGAAACACTGTAACCATAGGAGTTGGCCAGCTTAATTTACTTTTTTTTCTTCTGCACTGCCATGCTATATGATTTTCTACCTTCCTTTTTAGACTCATGGTTGATTGAACACATAAAAAAAGTTTTGACAACAAGCATATGACAGACTATGAAAAGTAAGCAAAAAATCAAAACTATGCTTTTGGAATGTTCTTTTTTTAGTATCATTCACCACTAAGAACCGACACTTTTATCGATCTAACTTTTGAAAAATATTGACTAATTATTTACCATGTGTTAGGAAGATTTCAGGTTAGAAATTTCCTCACATAAAAATGTATTTATCCTATTTCCTATTGTCTCAAATGCTGCATTGTGATAATATATTAAACTCTGCTATCATAGTAATGTGTATGGATGACTGTGCTCCACATATTTTTCTCCCTTGCTCCTATTTCAGTTATCTATTACCACAATAATGTCATGTAAACAAAAAAATCACAAAACCTTGGTGGCATAATACATCAGTGTTTATTGCTCACATGTCAGGGGTCAGCTGGGTATCTTCTCAGAGGGCTGTCTGTTGGCTGGGCTTGCTCACTTTGCTGTACCCACTGGCTGTCCATTGGCCTAGATCATACTCAACTGGGCTGCCTGTATCCGTCGCATTCTAGGAAGCTACCTCAGGTCTTGTCTCATGGAGATGACAGAGACATAGGAAGAACAGGGCCTCATGAGTCAGACTTGGAACCACTGCACTGGTGCTTCTACTTCATTCTACTGACCAAAGCCAGGTACATGGTCAGTCCAGAGACAGGCAGAGGACACCACAAAGTTACATGGCACAGGGGGTGGATGCAAGAAGGGTGAAGAATCAGGGTCATGTCTGCAATCAATCTACCCTGCCTCCTCATCCAAGCCATCAACAAGACCTGCCAATACCACCTTGGAAATATTTCCCACATCTTTCCAACTTTCTCTCTCTTATTCCTACCGTCATTTCAGGTCACTCTGATCTCTTGGCTTTAGCCTTCTAACTGTCCTGTCCATGTATTTCTTGTCCATTGCTCCTTAGGCTATTCTCAAAACAGTAATCAGAAGAATCCTTTTAAAAAGAAAACCTACTCTTGCCACTCATTTGCTTAAGTCCACTCCACTTGGTTTCCTACTGCTCTCAGGATAAAGGTAGAAATCCTGAATATGAGGTGTAAGGCTCTGGGCCATGTGGATGAGGAGCTTGCCTCTCTCATCATCCCTACATAGCTCCCCTGTATACTCAGGGCTCTAACCTCACCAGCATTCCATCACTTTCTCCAAAGGTGCACTTCTGCACATCACAAGACCTGTTTACCTGTAGATCCCTCTAACTCAGATAATCTTTGCCCAGTTCAGTTCTTAGAGATCCATTAGATCTCCTTTCAAACATCTCTTCCTCACCCTCCTCACTCCCCTGGCACCACAATGAGTGCCCTAGTTTCATGCTCTCAGAGTCTCTTGTAATTTTCCATCACTGTCCTTAACAAGTTAACTAACAATTATCTGTGTCATTCATTGATTAACGTCATCCCTCATTAAACTATAAAACTCCACTATATCAGAGGTCATGTGTATAAGTTCAATGTGGTTTCCTAAAACATTTACCAAACTATAAAAGAAAAACACATTCCATTTTACTTAATTTTTTTTTTGAGAGAGAGAGCCAGTAAGGGAGGGGATGAGAAAGAGATGCAGAGAAAGAATCTTAAGTAGGGTCCACGCTCAGTCTGACATGGGGCTCGATCTCATAGCCCTGAAATCACGACCTGATCTGAAATCAAGAGTTAGACAAGAGCCACTCAGGTGCACCTTTTTTTTTTTTTAACCTAATCTTGAATGCAAGATTTTTGTATCATTTAAAAAATTGTTTTTGTTTATTTATTTATATTATGTTGAGAGAGACAATCACAAGCTGGCTCCATGCTGTCAGCCCAGGGCCCGATGAGGGGCTTGACCTCACAAACCATGAGATCATGACCTGAACTGAAATCAAGAGTTGGACCCTTAACGGACTGAATCACCCAGGGCCCCAAGATTTCTTGACCTTAAATGAAATGACTATGTGGTGCCGTGTACCTGGATTCCTTTAAAAAAGGCATTCCAAGTAAATGTAGAAAACAGCAATCATTTCTCTGCCTTCCAAATTTATCAGCCAAATCCTCTGTTTAATTTGAGCACATATGCCTTGCCCATGGGAATAAAACAATGAACCATATTAACCAGATTGCTGGTAAAATTATTTTTGAAAGTTTGTGTGTATTTTTTGGTCATTTTAAAAATGATTCCTATGTCCTCTGTAGGAATTCAAGTCTGTGTCAAAAATGAGTAAAGCAAAGTGTTAAGTTTGTACTCTGACAACTGAAAAGCACTGCCTACACATTTGACATAAATAGTATTTCCCTCTTTTACAAAAACCTGAATTATAATGAAAACTATAAAGCATATGTATACAATAGTATTTAACAGCGATTTGGCATAAACAAATTTAAGTATTTCAGACATTTAGTTGATGTGTTTTTATACGGGTTGACCTGACTGATGAGCCAATGTAAATATGATAGACTGTCCTAGTAAAGGCACTTATTATATTCAGGAATCATTTTCCTCTCACCTTACACTTTTCTTTTTTTGTGATCCTATACCCATCCCCAGAAAGGGCCATCCCAGAGAACATAGCATCTCCTCCCTCCTTGTCATGAGTGGTTCGACCCAGTTTGGACCTCTGATTCAAACCGGACCTGAGTCCTCCTACTGGCAGTTTGTAATTAGGACACAAAGACATTAAGTTGTGTGCAACTGCTCAGGTAAATTCCAGGACTCCCCCCTTTCAGGGAGCTATTCAGTACAGTGTATGTAAAGGAAGAAAGGGGAATAAAGGATATTCATAGGAAAATCAGAGAATTCTTGTGGTGAGACAAGCAAGGAGAAAGAGAAAGTATACACAAGCAACCAAAACAGCCTTGTTTCCTGATACCATTTGTTTCTGAGTCCATGACTGGTAAAGCTTGGCTGTGTTTTCTGTCATGTATTCTGATACACTTCCTTCAGTCTATGTAATAAATTCCCTTACGATTCAGAGTGCCTGTTTCTTACAAGAAAATAATTTCTGGCCAATACAGAGATATTCAAGAGGAAAGAAGAGACTGGT